CTATCAGTATGTTGTTATTATTATTATTATTATTATTTTCTGTGCATTATAATTTGGTTTTTATATTTCATTAAAAAAAAACCCCAACAACAACACAAAAAGCCCTGAATAAAACTGGAGCTTTTTGGAGAACGCCTAGAGTAAAAAACTCACAGAAGCTACTGTTTTTCTTCTTCTTGAAAGGAAATAAGCCGGCTTGCTGCACAGGTTAGGCGGCTTTATGGGTCTAACAAGAAAGCTCAGAAGCCCTTTTGGGTTCACCTCACAGGGATTGTGAAAAACAGCCCCATTTATGAAGCATGCTTGAGGATGAATGATGGATTTTCCAATTATCTTGTAAGTATATTTCCCCCCAGTTTACCTTTCTTCAAGTGATGACATTGAAGAAAGAATGTTCTTGCTCAAGTTGCTCTTATCAGTAGAAGGTAAAATATGTATAATTGTTAGTTTTGCCTTCCTTGCTCATAATATTCCATATGGTTAACTTGGTGTCCTCTAGAGTTGCAGTCCTAACATAATTAGGCACAGAACCTTTGCTTTTAAGAAGCCCTGTAGTTTAATATCTTCAATAGTCTTTGTAAAATATGAGTAGGTTTACATTGGGCAGAAAATGTTCTTTTGATTCAAAATCTGTTTTTCAATAGAATAGTAATGGATAGTGACCTGTATTTCCAAAGATGCACACTAATTCCTGCACAACTGCTCTTCCTAAAAGGATTCTTTTTTGAAATTCCATTTATGTGTGTTGTATTCTTTTTCAGATGGATGTTACTGCAGAAAGTTATCTTGACCTATTTCCTTTGGACATGATTGTGTATCTCACACCAGATTCTGATAATGGTATATTGCAGCTTTGGGGCTGTTTAAAGTTTGTTATTCTTATTTTAAATGAGTAATAATTGGATTGGGGGGTTAGAGCTGTTTCTTAACATATGTTTCAAATCAGCTTGGTCAGACTTGTTTCCATCATTAATACATCTATCTGACTTCCACCCCCTGAGCCGTCAACATCATGCCACGTATTGTGGCATTCAGCTGGACAAGCAGCCTCACATCCCAAACTAAGCAACAGTTCTGTAAACTTGGTCCTTAGTAAGATTAGCAGTGTGTAGGGTATCTAAAGCCCAACCCAATCCAGGCCTGTGGTGTTTGCTTGATGCACTTCCCCTCTCTCTAAATATTGTGGCTGGGAACCAAAGATCAATCTGTCTTGATGTGTGGAGTGAGGGTGAAACCTTTCACAGTGAAAGGTTTTTTGCTGTTTTTGATACTGCTATTCACATTGCGAAAAGCAACTTGCTTTTCATATATCAAAGGGAGGCATAAGAGTCTGCAGTAAAGCTATTCATGTGCACGTGTCTCTCACATGTGTTTGTCCTTCCTTGTGCTCCACCCTGTGGCATAGACAGAGAGAGACAGACAGAAAACTTTATTTCAGTCAGTGACCAGCTTGAAACAAACATAACAAAATCCAGCCATTGAAGCTTAACATACTTAGGAATAAATAAAATAACACAGCACTGCACTGTACTAACACTAAAAGCTAAAAACCAAGATTAGATAAGACAAAAAAAAAAACATAAAATGAATTGTGATATCTAAATCTAGATACTCAATCTGTAGTTCAGTAAATGAACAATATAGACATAAATTGTACTCTAAAATCTAATCTAAAATATTAGTAAGTTGCAATTCATTCATTTATACATGACGAACATGTTACTCATGTAGATCAGAAGCCAGCTGTTTGTGCATGTTCACAGCTGCTGTACAAAACTTTGCTACATTGTGTATAGTAAGGGTTTTGTTATCTGAAAGGAGGACATTAACATACGATTTCTCAGACTGGTTTGGGGCATGTAACAACAAAGGAAAATGGAATTTCCATGTTAGAAAGAGCAGCATAACAGCACATGGAGGATAGATTCAGGGAACCATCAACACGAGGGCAGGTCTGACTAGCTATAGGAACTTGTATTAAATCTCCCATATAAAAATGCTAAAGGCCAGCTATTGATCTGGCTCTGAAGAAGAACCTTTGTTGAAATGGGGAGACAGTGAGTCAGCATAATTAGCTGACTTCCATCCAGGGTGGTTAAATTGTAGGGGGACAGGTTTTGGAATGAGGGCTCTCTCATTCTAGTATTCAGTATCCAGGAGCCTTTCTCTGATAACTCTCAGCCAAAGTAAATGTGAGGAAATTCGGATACCGAATGAGAGGACACATGGTGAAAGTTTTCTAAAAATTTCTGGAGTCCAAGGGGACTGGAATTTATTGGATAAGAGAAATGGGATGAACCCAAGTGGGAAATAATGGCATTTAAGCCAATTATTAAAAATGAATAACCAGGCTGTTTCATCAGTCCTCATCTGGCCAGCTTCTAGCTTTAGAATTGCACTGAATACACATTTTGGAACTTGAAGCACTGCTCTAATAAACTGAGTTTGTACTATTTCCTCAACTATCAGCCTATAATTTGAGTAAGGGTGTAATAAGAGGTCCATAAGCAACTGAGCCAAGAATTTGTCGATAGTTCTAGAGCTATGGAGATGTGTTCTTTTGTGTGGAAAAAAAACTAGAACCTCTTTGAGCCTGCAAGAATACAGATTTGATATGTGCATTCCATGACTCTGAGCCTTGCAGGACTACACCTAGATATTTAAAAATCCTCACTTGTTCCTGTCCTTCTGTTGCCCACTGAAGCTTCCTAAATGTTTTAGGAAAGACCATTACTTCAGCCTTCTGGAAATGTATTACAAGGTGGTTTTCCTTGCTGTAACCTGCCAAAGTATTAAGTGAACATCTGAGGCCAGTTGGAACCCTTGAAATGATGCCTGCATCATCTGCATAAAGCAAGAGTGGGACATTCGTGTCTGCAATTCTAGAGGGGTGAAAGTTTGGATCTGAAAATTCCTTTGCCTGTGAATTCATGTATAAGTTGAACAAGGAGGGTGCTAGGTTAATAGACCTTGTGGATAACATCAAGTTCCTAATTCTAGAATCTTTATGAAACTTCTGGATTAGGAAAAGTGATTGAGTATAAAATACCAAGCTCACTAAATCTTTCCTATTGAAGAGGTCTCAAAACTGAATTAAATGTTGATTTAAAATCACCAAAGGCCACCTAAAGAAAAGCTCCAGATCTTCTTCTGTATTTCTCAAAAAGATGATAGAAGAATATGGACCAGCATGGAATATAACCTTTAGAGCAAAAATAGAGCTGACTAATTACTACCAACAATTAGAGGGGTAAACCTCAAAATAGAAAAATCTATAATATTAAGTAGATGGTAGTTTAGTTTGATGCACTTTAGGCCCGAAATACTCTTACTAGAGATATGAGAAAATGATAGTGTAAAAGGTAGCTATAAATAACATTGTTCCCTCCATTTCCAGTGCTCAGATACCAGCACTTAATGTTTTATTTAGCCAAAATAACATCACCAGCTAAACACAAGCTTGCTGAGAGCATCAGCAAGCTTTGGAAAACAGCAAGATTCGCAGACAGATAAAACATAATTAAGAATAATTTTTTTATGAGGAAGGAGGAGAATTCTTCAAAAGAGTCCAGTGAGGAGTGAGCTGGGAAGGAGACAAAACCTTCACAAAATAGACAAGGAGAAACTGGGGTCAGACAGAAACCATGATTATTACAGTTCTATTATTATTATTATTATTATTATTATTATTATTATTATTAATACTGTGTAGATTTTGCTAGACAGAATTTTTAATATATTTGAGCACTCATAGACATCTTGTTTTGGACCAAGGCATTTCAGTCTTTCTGATTTTAGTCATGTTTTTTTAAGTCTGCTATACAGTTTAGAGAATTAAGGTGGAATAACATATTACTCCATGACCCTGTTCTCACTGAATGCTTAACTGGCTCAGGGAAAGGATTAATGTATCGTAGCAAAACACAGAAAAATCAATTAACGCAGTCAACTACCCCTCCCCCTGCCCCCCTCCCCAGGTGTTAAATGTATATCAGAATAGACCTAGCTAATTCCACCAAGTCAGTTGTAATACAGGACACCTAAATCCCATCTTTTGACCCATTTTACATAAGCACTCAAAGAAAAGAGAGTTTGACATAACTAGTGGCTGAAAGAACAAGCGTCTCCTTACAGAATTGCCTACTAAGTCTAGCCATATAGAACAAAGCTCCCACATTCTGATTGGCTGAAGTGGCCAAGCCATTCTTCCCTCCATCTGCCTGGCCAATGGGGAAAGGGTTGGTAGTGTCACAGAGCCTTGCTGGAACAGTCATGGGGCAGATGCTTCTGCAATACATGGCATTTCTTGGAGAAAGCAGACAGGGATTCTGCATTCCCAAAATGGTGATTTTTTTGATCCAGTTAGTAGGACTGTGTGCTGCCAAAACCACCAATAAGATTTGACAGAGGTAGTTTAACCTGATTGGGTTACATATGTTATGGGGAGAAACCAATGAAGTTTTCACCCAAACTCTAATACACATGTTCTTAAAAAATGTATTCAATTTGTATTGCTCTCCCCTCCCCTTCCTGGCATATGATTAGGAAGCTAAAAACAATAAAAACACATATCTACCGCAATAATCCCCTAAAACCAGGTTCACCTAGTTCCTGGCCCAGCGTCCAGGAGGAAAGCTAAGCTTTTAATGGCCATTGGGATCCTGGCCTTCTGAGTCTTTGGGTGAGGAGGGGTATATTATTGTATTACAATAGGGCAGGCACAACAACAGAAGTTAAGCTTCCTAGATCCTAATAGATGGTATTGTTGTACTGAATGGACCCAGAGCATGTCCACCTGTCAGATCTCATGGGATGGGCAGAAATAATTGTTGACAGACAGTCCTGCAAATAACCCAGTCTTGTACCATGAAGGTCTTGTAGGTGATCACCAGCACCTTGAACTGCACCTGGAAACATACTGGGAGCCACTGCAGCTCATAGAGTAGTGGTGTTGCATAGAGTGCACCCATAATTACCAGTGCTGCAGCATTCTGGATCAGCTGCAGTTTTTGAATGATCTTCAAGGGTAGCGCCATATAGAGTGACAGTGTTGAATCCTCCCCACTCATAATCGTAGTGGTATATTTTACTGCCAGTTTTTACACTCTCTGTATTTCTTTGCCTTTGTTATTGGTTCCTTCTAGAGGTGAGGGGAGGGGAGGTGAAGTGAGGTGGAGAGGCGAAACATAACAAGGGTCTGATGACGATGATGATGATATAACGCAATCTGTCTTTATCACTAGATGTTTATTCGTGTTCTTCTCATTTTAGTTCTTGAGGAAGTTGATCCACAAAAAGTACATATTCTGGGAGGGCTGGTGGATGAAAGCATTCAAAAAGTAGGTACA